GTCCACAGCTACTTCAACTTTCGTCGTGAAGTCGAGTAGCTGGATTTGGAGAGCTGATTGGCCACTGCGTCACCGATCTCGACCGATGAGGCCAACCGCCTGATTACGCTACCAATCGAGTGTTCTTATTCAGACCCGTTCTAGAGTATATTCATCATTTTCCAGTTACCATTGGGAATCGTGTCATTATAGAGTTGTGCTACAAAAATTACATGGGGTTTTTCGTTTCAGGAAATACATCAGATGATACTGTAAAGCACTACTGATTTCAGAGGTCTGTAATGTAGTGAAGCAGCTTGATCAAGATGTAGGATGGGAATGACGTGACCGTGTCAGCAGGTGTTCCCTCTGCCTCACCCTAGCGTCGGGATACCTCCTTAGTTGCTAACAGCACTGCACTCCTCACCGGTAGCCTATCGGACATGAGGGGGTTATCTACTCCTTATGTGTAGAGTCAGATGCCCCTAAAACATATGGTGCATGACATATAACATGTACCCTTATAGCATTGTTCTAGACCCTTTGTTGCGAGTGCTGCGTGAATGCAGATCTAGGCGGAATTTCGTGCGTTGACTGGGGGAATTTACAAGCATTCATCGAAATCGATGGTCGAGCACACATACACACAAGCCCAGCCCCTATTGAATTTTAAATGCGCACGTATTTGATCACCCCTCGCCGGCCAAAAAGGGCCTAGGACCACTAAGACCTTGCGTAACTCAAGGGCATTGTTATAAGGGGTATATTCATTTGTATTGTTTTATCCTTATTTTTCGATTATAGTAACTTTTCGCAAAATGAATGATAGATACCTTAAACGTTGTCTTACTATGCATAATAGATATACACATTTGGGTTTGATGTGGACTTTAAACTACAGTTTAACAACTGATCAATTGGAAAGCAGCATGACAAGCCTTATTACTTAAAAACGCAGAAGACAACCGAAAGACCAAAAGCAGTTTATAGAACTCCGCCTAGGTAAGGAACAGTCAAAACGAGGTTCACGAATAGATGCGAATAGAGAGAGAGAGAGAGAGAGAGAGAGAGAGAGAGAGAGAGAGAGAGAGAGAGAAGAGAAGAAGAATGCTATATTGAGGATTTTACAAACCTGAATTTTCAGGTTCTTGTTGTGAAGAAGACAAGGTTAAGTTGTCAATTTGTTTATCCAACAGCAAGTAACACTTAAGTGTCCTTTTACCATCAGTTAGAAACGGCAGGAATAAGAACTGTATGAAAAGTAGTAAGAAGATTTAAAGAGGGAGCAAGAAGTAGGGCACCTTACGAACAAAAAATATT